TTTTGATCATAAATAATGAAAAGTTATATATGTTGTATTCAGATGGCATTTCTAGACCCTTTAAAGCAAAACTTTGCTGAGGTGATATGTCCAAAATCTAAAACTAAGTACGTTGTTCAAGATTGTTATTCCATGCTGACGTCATGTGACTTGCTTGTGGGCTATGAAAGTAAATATGTGCAAACATCAATGCAAGGCTTTGATGTGCAAAGGGCACCAAGGAGTATCCATCATTCAGCAACATGGGACTTGGCCAGATCGCAATATGAAGGATTGAAATCTAATAAAAATATAGAGATGTTCAGAGATAATACTCATTTGTCAGTGGACAATTATGATGTAGAACTGCAAGCGAAAGAAGATCCTATGTTGGAATCAACGTTTAATCAGAGAAATGTTTGTGTTGAAAAGTCAATAGAAGCTTGGATGCAAATAGAAAGAATGATTTCACAGAGTGATAGCATAACACACATCACACTAGCTTGAATCAATAGATCTTTGCATGACTTGTAAGTTCAGGAACATTGTCAACTAGAATCAGTAAATGACATAATCACAACAACCCACATGTTTATTAGACCAAGTGGCTTGACATTTAAAAGAAGGATGGGAATTGTTGACAAGTATCATAATGCAAAGAGAAGTCATTCAATTAAGGAAGAGTTTTTTAGGCGTAGCACTCAACTGCGTGGAAAACGCAAAAGTAGGAAACCACAAACTGATATGAACAGGATCTTTCTGCCTGCAAGTAGATTTTCCTTGCCAAAACGTTTAGGTAGAGAGCTTTTAGCTGGCACAAATACAATTAATCTAAGTGATGATCCGGTACAATGAATTGATTCATAATCAAGAGGTAAGTTTCATTTTTTTTGTTACGTGTTTTCCTTGTTGTGCGACGGATACTTGCCAAAGACCACCTAGTAGGTACTTGACAAGCAAGAAAGCTACGTTTTCATTTGAGAAGTTCAAAAGTTTATTTCGCTGTTTTTTCTATGTCTAGAAGTTTGAAATTTTGAATTTTATAAAAATTTCTCCATCTTGGCATATGAAAGTTTATGAATACATGCAAATTTGTCTACAGTTAACTCCATTTGCCATATAGTTAGAGCTCTAAGTTTTAACTCTTGCTGATCTCAAGATGGACAAATCTTCTTTTGAGGCCTCGTTGATTTAGCTCTGGTTTTGTACTTTAATGCACTTGCGCGTATGTAACAAGTTACTTTGTGTGATATGCTTGAAGCACTGATTTTAGCACTTCAAACTCATTCACCCTACTTCTAAGCTATCAACTATGATTTGCAGATAACGAGAATCTCTTACCACCCTAAAAACAAATGCATGTTGACTTCATCAGTTGATGTCATTATTCATGATTGGAAGTCTTGAGATGAATTACCCGAAGATTAGGTTGGTTGATTTTACTTTTTTTTTATTTAATGTTGTATATGTTTTAGCTTTTCCAATATTTCCACTATACTTATATCTACCAAAGAAAAATTGAAGAAGTGTGGAAGTCTGAATAATAATTTGTACCATGGTGTGCAACCTTCAAAGTGTCCGTCCAATTTTATCAGCAAGTAATTGCCGAAAAAGCTAACGAATCCAAGATTATTCTTTCTTCCATACCAAAGGTATGTGACAACTTGGCTTCATGTGTATTGGGAAAAGGTATGTAGGAACTTGAGTTAAATTTTCCTCTTTCTCTCTTTTTGTCCTAAATAACTATCATTACGTTTTACTATCGTTTGCAGAATTGATTTACGAATGCATGTTTTTATCATTGAACTCTAATTTTAAAAGGTTTATCACAGTGACGAAGTTGGAGAACTACCATCATACTAGGAAGTGTATGACTTTACATTCACAAACTATTTATTACGTTGTCTAGACGCCCATTTGATCCTAAGTCTTATGATATTATGGCATCCTTTTCTTCTATATCACTTCTTGATTCCATGTGACAAAAGGGCTCAAAATCCTGTTGTAGACAAGGAAGCCAAGTCTATATTATGTAACCAACCATACTTCTCTATTTAGCTCAATTAGTCTTCCAGTTGAGTATCCAGCACACTTTGAGTCTTTTTTTGCGATTGTATCCTTGCGGAAAATCACTAAAAGTGAGTCTTAATTGCGTCTGCATGGCTCAAGTGGCTAGCTCCTTCAAGATCTTTCATGGGATGGTACATGACTGGCCAATTAAGTACGATGTAAATAGTCATGAGCAGGTGAAATCTGCCCATGAAGACATGATAAGTTGGTTCAAGCAGCACCTGAAGGTGTAAAAGTCCTAAATACATTAGTGGGAGTTATGTTCATCATTTCGCATACGTGAAGATGTATCAAAAGTTTGCAAATGTATACCTACGTATACAAAAAATCTGTATTCCAAAAAAAATTGACAATGTCTATTTTCAGTAGATAGTGAAGCAAACAAGCTAGTATTGAGGCCTGAATGATAAACACAAAAAAATTAAGCAAATAAAAAAGTTTGTACACTACATAACAAATTTTAGAAGTGGTTTTGTTTTTCTTCAAATAAATGCACTATTGGTAGTAGTACATCAGTAGATTAAGAGCTGCTTGTGCATCACTTGAGGGCTCCTTTGAGTGAATGCATCTGGGAGATTGCTGACATTTAACTTAGAAATTCTGTTACATAGCGTGTAGACAATGCACGTCAGATTGCACTGCGTAAAGTTTAAAACACATGGGCCCTTCTGAAATTGTTAGGGAGAGTGTAACGCTCTTTTTCAGTTCCGTGAACTCTAAAGATGAATTATAGGTTTCTCGGTATATGATTTTATCGGGCGTTCCCTCCATTTTGCCCCTTGGATATATTAGGATATTTTTGCTGATTTTGATGTCGACTAAATCGACTATTTGCTAATTGTGGTGAAATGAACATTTTTTTTACGCAATAGCTTTAACTCATAAATCATGTGGCTTTCATAAGCAATGTACATCTTTGAGTTCGCGACTCTTACACATTTATCATTTCCCATCAGGAATCCTATCATCATTGAGTTGAAATGAGTTGTGGGAGAGCTCAAGTGCGGGAATGAAGGGAGCATAATGTCATCTGGTGCAACTATTGGTCCAATTCCTCTTCAAGGATGGCAAATCACATATCAAAAACTGCAAATCACATAGAAAGAATCTAAACAAATTCACAAAACGGTAACCGCCAGTGGATCTGAAATTCTCGCAGACCCGGACGCTGCCTTCTAAGTGTTTTCAAGCTCCGTTTGTGCTATGGGATCACGTTCTCCATTTTTGCACTTGAATGATTGAAGAACGCCCCTGTAGAATTTAAATAATGTGATAATCGCCGTTTGGCCAGTGCAGATTGCATGGCTTTTACTTTTCTGTGTGTATTGATTTTGTAAGATGACGATCATCTGCAAGTGCACTTAGACATCGCGAGGGCAAATCGCAGACAAACGAGGCCCAAGTGGCATGTTGTGCGTAGAATGTATAATGCTAAAGGATGACTGAAGCTAGAGCAAGAGCCTCATTAATGTGATTATCTGATAGTCGACACATGTTTCACATCGACTAACCAGGATGCATTGATTACAAGTTAAGCGCTGGACCGGTGAATGGTGACACCGTTACGACGGTCATCGTATGCCGTCAACCCCCGAGCATATGGCCGGGGTTGTTCTAGCCTGCAGTGTTACACTTTTCAGGTGACGGTTAGTACACACACTCTTACTTTCAAGCATTAAAAACAAAAACAAGTGAGTACCTCATCATTATTTTCTTCAAAAGTTTTATCAATACCTCCATTATTAGTTCTAAATGAATCAACGATTCAAAGTTGATACAACCTTTTGTTCAAAATATTTTTTAATGAATTCAAATTAATTTTTAACTAATGTCAAAATTAATATTATTGTTATGAGAAAAAACTTAAGAAGAACTGTCATGAATATAATAGATTTTTTATTTCCATGCGAAAAAAAACTATTTTAATTTTTTTCTAAATTATATATTTTACACGCATGTAAATCATCATTCATATAATGAGCTTTAAATCGTACATCATATTCATTAAGAAAAACATTAATGCTATGAAAAAACATTTTGATTATTTTTCAAGATCTTGACATAGATCATATTAAAGAATAATATTTTTACTTCATGACAATGAATGATTGACAAATATTCAAGCAAGATAGCATAATATTGAAATGTTATACATTGTATGAAGTAGGGAGATTACTTTATCGCAATTGATATTTTAGTATCAAAATTACAAAACTTAAATTTAATAAAGTTTGTAATAAACTCTATTTAAAAGAAATCTTAATCTACTATTAAGATATTTATAAGCTTGTGTAGATTGCAATAGAATAACATTTGAATGGATGAATAGCGACATAAGCTAATTTTATCTGATGACATGATTTGTTATATTGTTCTTATACAAAGTGTGAGTTTGTTTTAAAAAGATAAAATGTAATACATTAATGTAATGTTTTTCAACTCGAATAACTATAATCTATAGAAAAATACTAAATTTTGATTCCTTTTTATTAATATCATCATTGGAATATTATTTTAATCGTGAGATATGATTAAATGTTGTACAAATTTTTATTTTTTATTTTTTAATGTAATTATTTTGTGTGTATTAAAAAAAAACATATTGTATGACAGAGTAATAATCACAACCCAATTGATGTGAACATATGAGTGACTCTATACATTTAATATGAGAGCTTGATTAGTATCCATCCTTACATGATCGGTAGATTTTATCGAAGTTGATGTTTTGCGTTCTCAACCAAATATGAAATTTCGATTCTACAGAACTTTCCGAAATGCAACAAAAGCCAGCAAAGAACTTCACACGCTAGGAAACGAGTAATTCAAAGCTGCAGGTATAGGTCAGATGAAACAACGGGTCTTCCTGTCGTCGGAATCCGAGTCGTCGGCCGTGCATGTGCTGGTGTTTTAGGGTTTCGCCTTCTATATCTACTAGGGTTTCAGAAGTTGAAGATACACTGAGCCTCTCGCAATTGAAGGTGGTCTAGCGTGCACATCTGCTCAGTAATAGATGACCACGACTCATGTATCTCACGATAAATTGTGCATCGGTGTTTACTGTTGAAACACTACCCCAGCGAAGTACATGGTTTTTTTTAGGTCATGTCCTGCGTCAGTAAGACACCAGTTGCAGCATTCGATTGGAAGAATCGGAGCTATGGAAGGCCCATAGTTTTCCGAGTAACTGAAGGTACGCATTCTTCGTTGAGTTCGATTCATTAGACTTTTTGTGAACATTGTTTGTAGTGGCAACATTGTCGTGGCTACCCCACTGGAAGCACTCTGTGCCAAGGGAATGGTATCCTCTTCTTCCCTGTTGCCCACATGAATACTTCCCCGTCTCCAATCTATCTCACTCTTAGATAGGTTTAAGCGTGGCAAGTGGGATTCGACCCCCGCGTGCTGGGGATTACAGTTATTTAGTATACAGAATTGAAGTTTACAGATTTTGAACTTTCTTTGCAATGAATATATTAGTTCGATTTGATACAGTGAGAGTTGCCATCTGTTGTGAGCTTGTGAGGAAAGACGGTTCAAAGGGCAATTACGGGATAGACTGTAACATCCTTCTCGGTCCCCGAGGATATCAAAGTCTAGCTCATGAATTCCCTAAGCCCCCAGCAAATGATGGTATATTGAATTAGTCTTTCTGACGTTGATGAAACATATCGCAATGAAGTTCTGATGCATGGGGATATTCATTAGAAAATTAGTCTGAGTGTTGAGCCCTATGTGCTGTGCAGTGCAATCGCATGACTGATGAGTACATTTCTTTTCAGGTATCTTGTACTCGCTGCTTCGTTCCCCGAACTTCAGGTCTCGTAGCTTGCCATTTGATGATTTCGAGTATGGCCTGGCGGGACACAAATCATTGTCCACATTTTGGTATAGGGACATTGATTCATGCCCCGCCAGTCCATATGTGTCCGTAGTCGTCAGGTAATGTGCAAATACTCTACTCCCTTGACATCTTGAAGAGACACTATCCTACATTTCTAAGGTGAGCCAGGCCGGTGATGTAAACACTCAGAACGGCCATCATAGCTTGTCAATGATGATCTCTGAATATCACCATCTTTCGGCTGAGGCCTGTGGCTCGCCTGGAATTTGCTTCGGCGAAAGCCCGCAACTCATTACAGTTGTGGATAGGCTCGCGAATGAGGACAACCGCAGCTGATGAGAAAATTGATAGGGACAACAGATCTCCTCGGAGAATGCTGATTACATCAATTGGAATCTCAAACTCTCTGATGCAAATATCCTCCCGCGTACTTATTTGTCTAAGCCTTCCTGTACCCGATTCTACCTCTGTCAGTGTAACAGGTAGGACATTACAATTCATCTCCAGCACCTATCCCTTTCTGTACAGCCGATTGAAGTGATGACAAGAAGCGTATGAGACTCGTCAGTGAGTATAACACACAAACACCAAGATCTACGCTGATCAGTCGACTGCTAGGTGAATGTCGTACTCTCTCTGTGAATCTGCGCCTTGTATGTCCACACAAGAATCCTGACCTTACCCTGCAGCACCATGAGGAAAGCTGTAATGTATTTTCGAGGACACGTCCAATGAATCGAAATACCTCCTACTCATTCTGAGTGCTGCTTTACCCTGACAGAAACTGTCTGTTTTAACATGCAACCATCCAAGAAGCCAAACACCTTACATTTAACATTACGAAGAGAGTCTTCGTATCGAGGTAGCGAAGAGAAGCGTTAGCTGTGGGGATAAAATCCGGATTAATGAGTTAATCCGCGGAAGAATCGCAAATGATGAGAAAATTGATAAACACATCAAACTCCTCGGAGAATGTTGACATTATCAATGGGAATCTCTCTGATGCATCAGATTCGTGAAGAGCTCAAGGCTCGAATAGCCAATGCTCAATGAACATGTCTACCGGTCACAGCGCATGTCGTATTTACGTATATATTCACATTGGATTCTTGTCAGATGGGAATTCTTTGGACGCACCAAGACAGGTAAGACAATTACAGTCGATACTACATTTCACTACAGATAAATTTCAGTGTTCAGCTTGGGAAAATGCGGACAGAAGATAAATATCAAAGACAGTACCCCATAAAAATGAAGAGGTAAAATGCGAAGGAAAAATATGAAGTGAGTCCAACAACCCGGATACACCCATGCTTTCAAGCACAAAATTATGTACACAAGATCATAGTGCAAGTGACTGAGAGAAGCCATACCATTCATGTTGTACATGTAGACTTTCATATCATTCTCAGCAGTGAGCACACTCATGAACTTTTCGCCAGCTGCAGCATAGACAAAAACTCAATTCCTGACATATGTTCTCCGATTACCCAGTGCGCATCCCGAGTATGTCTACCTAGGCTGTCTGTCAGCGGCTACGAGATCATACATAGTTACAATCACCTAAACCACCCTAAACACATGTCTTCTGCTAGATGAAGTCAATTCTGCATATCTTATGGCCCAAGAGAAAGTACCTGCTCTTCCCATGGCAGACGCAGAATTGTACTCTAGGCACATTGAGGGCACCCTGAACGGGTGAAATACATTTCCTCCTATACATGCCTGACACCGTCTTTCAACTCAATAGAATGTGCATGTCAACTGCAGAACAGGCTGATACTTATCACAACCACAGTTACGAGAATCTAGACTGATATAAAAGCAGGAACGAGAACAAGTCCTAGACACAATTTACCCATGTACAGATCTCGACCATCACACGTGAGAACCGCTTCTAGAAATACCACCAGATAACATCCGGAGCTGAACATGTCAAATAATTTCAATACTACAGGATACTTCTTTACAAATCCTATTGGCTACCTTAACAATACCGCTTGTTTTGGAAGATCTGCAATTAATACTTTTGATTTGATGTGTAACTAACATAGATAATCAGTATGTCCACACAGCGTGTAGATATTTCGGAATTATATGTAAATGTAATTGGTTGCAAGATTACAAAAACAATTTTACAATTCAACATAAACATCACATCTCTAATAATTTTAATATAAATTCCATTTGTCATGTGAATGGATGGTCAATCATATTCCATATCTAAATTTATATTACAAACACACACCCACAATCTAATGATTTCATCAAAGATGATCATGATGCAAAGGTTGGTGTATGGAAAAGCATATTCAAGTAAAATGTGTCGTACATCACATGCCATATAAAAAACATCAGTAACATTCATATCATATTCTAAAGAAGTCAACAAATAAAGTATTGAAATTGATGAAAATTGAATCATGACAAAAAAGGTTATGAATTACTACTTCAAACCAGAAATGATCATTCGACACTATGAAAAGCTGATAGAAGAGTGAAAAAAAAATTTGTTTATAAAGATTTCATGATAGTTGAATGGTCTCTTTGCATATATATGTCATAATACAAAATCAAAAAATTTCATTTATTCAAAAAGTAAAATAAAATTGCTAGAAATTTCCAGTAATAAAATTAGAATATCTTAATATAATTAAATTTAATTTCATGAAACTCTATAAAATTAAATATGAGAGATATTTAACTAACTAACAAATCACATGAAGGAAGGTGTATTGAATAATAAACAAATTCATGATTGATTTTTTTTGTATTGATTGACATTTTAAACTTGGTGACTGTTATGACATAATCATGTTTCATAAAAATATTTTTTATAATCATTAGATATATTACATGATTAAAATCATAAAATTTGTATATATCATGCATAAAATAATACAAAAACACATAAATTTAGGCATAAAAATTGATCAAAAATAATTTTCAAAGTTTGTAATAATTTTTAACTTATCAAAATTAAAATAGATTTGATTCAAATACACAAAAATATTCAAGATGAAAACAAAGTTAAAGTAAAATGAATTATTTGTAATAAATAATATTTGTGCCGTCATTTATTCATGTGTTTGATGTGTAAGATTGAATGTGTCAATTGACCATTACTCAAATGTTTGTAAGTTTAGATTAATGTGATCATTGAAAAAAAAATTGTGTTTGTTAGGTGAAATTTGACGTGTTAGTTGAGAACAATACATCAACAATCTGTTTTATTTAGTTTGTTATATTATACTTGTTGTCATAAGTCCATTGGAATTGAAATAGAATGTGAAATGATTAGTTGTTTCCTTGCATTTGTTGAAAAACAAATTCCATTATAAAAATTTCTTATCTTCAAAAATTTATACATCATCTTTCTAATTATCTTTAATTTTGAATTTCAATATTACAACATTTCAATTTCTTATTGGATTTTAATATGCATTGATGAATATAAAGATTGTAAAAAAAAAGAGTGTATTTGATATAATTACACATATTTTTAGGATATTCTTATTGACAAATGAAAATACATGCTCACGACTATGGCTATGGGAGAGTTTGATCATTATGTGATGGATGATCAAGAAGTAGCACAGGTACTGGTGAATTTCCTGAGGTGATCATTGAGCTAGTGAACATTAACGGTAAACTCAATTGAGCTGGTGCGTTGATCAAAGTTTTACTTTGGAGAGTTTCAAACGACACTGTGCTACAATGCAAATTGTGCATGGGAGCGCAGGTGAAATTTGTTAGCATAGTATCATCAGTTATCTCTATATATTATTACTCTATCATGTTATGGCTACGACTTAATTCTAGTTAACTTTCGTATGCAGAGTGGACCTTGTGTTACGTTTCAGTCTAGAATTTTTCGCGGAGTAATAATGTAGTTTACAGAGGTTATTGATTCCTTAACGAGAGTTAAGGGGGAGAATGTTGAGGTTAATTCTAGTTAAGTAGAAACCTCGGTGATCAGCTAAATATAGATAGGATGGTCGTTTGGACAGGGAATAAATATATCTAGGCTTCACATGTACAAAGTAATACATTTCACAGTGAGAGACTTGGAGTAAAGGTGCTCATGTTATCGGTGTACGTAGCCTTGCTCCCAAGATGAACCACATTATATTGTGTCTTCACTGTGACTTGATTTTCAGTGTTTAATGTAGTCTCGGTTTAACCATTCACAACATATACAAAAATAATACTATAATTTGCATTTTGTATTGGCATAAAAAATTAACACTAATTTTTTACATTACTCATATTATTCTAAATCTGTAATCATCATGATCTAGTCATAATACAAACATCATGTAGTTTGTAATACGGGTGCATCTGTATTTATTTTTAGAAATTATGCCAAATGCTTATTAAATTTGCTTGATATTCAATACTTTTATTTCCATGATTAGTTCGATTTTTTGATTTGGTCATGTAAATTTTTAAACGTAAGATAATAAGAAGTCATACATTTTTGTTCATGCCATTAAACAACTAAATGATAATCTATAAACATGTATACATTTGTCAAACATTGTACAAGATAGTGTCTGAAGTAAACTATTTGTATAAATTTAAGAAGACATATACACAAAATTCATTGTGATTTTGATCACTACTATATATAATCGGATCTTCAAAATTATTACCAAATACGTACTTCTCAACAAGACAAATCTTGTGGATTTTTAACTTGTTCTTTTATTACTTTCATTATTCATTGCATATTCAACATATATATGTTATCTAACATACTAGATGTGGAGGTTGTATCAATCCATATATCATTGTAAATTAAACAAAAAATCTAATTTAATTTATATGAGAGGCATGAAAGTGCATATTTTTTAATGTATTTTGATAAATAATTGAAATTACATGAATACATATATGTTTTTACACATTATGTGATAATCATATGTATAATTGAATTTATAGTCAAAAAGCTTGCGAGTGAGATTTATTTTACTATTTATAAGTCCAATATTCATGTTGATCTTCTTAAGATCCGTAAAAGTTTCACATTTATAACATAGCCATTTTATCCAACTTCTTCGATCTTCATAATAATATTTTAAAAATCTTATGGACAAATTTTTCAATAGCTTAATGTGAAATAAAGTTGAAATCAAACAAATACATATTATGACATGAAAGAAGTGTTTACATTTCACAAGGCAATAAGAAAAGAATATTTTCATGATTTTTCTTTTTATAATATTGGAATAATACAATATAACGAAATTTTTAATCTGTAGTACAAAAGTATCAAATTTGGAAATATTATTTGCACTCGAATTGAAAGCCAGGGCAAGAAAGTAACAAAATCAATAAAATAGATAAAAAAGTTAAATATCTTTCAATTAAATAAATTGTTAAAATTAAAAATATATTATGAGATTCATACTTTTAAGTTTATGGATAAAATAATTTTATTCCGTTATGTAACTATCATAAAAAAAATAGATTGAATATTCTCAATTCTACTAGTTGCTAGTTCGCAACTTTGATGACTTGAAAGGCCAAGAGCTTCATTCCAAGAATATCATGAATTTCTCTTGCTTGAATGCGATTCTGATGTATGCTTCGAAAAAGATTCCTAAAATGTTTTCAATAAAGCTTTTCAAGCTGTCGAATCGTTTATATACAGATTCACTCTCTCGTTACAGAATGTTTTTAGAAGATTTATAATTAGTCCTCAAGTTTTGGAAGAAGTAACAATCAATCACATCACTTGTTGGACTTCAATGTCCAAAATTACATCTGCGTAATACCCTCTAACATCCAATCTTCGATAAGTGGATTTGGCGTTTAAACTCTACACCCTATCTCTTTGAGAACGAATCTTGTATATAACATTATAGAGGGTGAAGTAATAGTCTCAAAAGCGTTACAGTACTTCTAGACACATCAAATCTATTCATCAACATACATTTCGGAGACTATCCATATGCCAACTGTACATAACTAAATTTGTACATTTATATTTACTTTCTATGGAATATGAATTTTCCATTTCGTAAGAATTGATTGACAACGTAGGACTGAGTGCAAAGATACTCTCATTCCGCAGCTAAAAGATTTTGGATATGGATACACATCCGACAAAATTTTGAAGAAGATGTTGAACCTTGCAATGCACAAGAGTTGTATTCATTTCATCATTACTTTGATCTAGTGTGTAAGAAATGTAGCAGTAAAGTTGAAGTTCCTTTGAGAAGTATGTGAACACCACGGGCCTGCTGCTTGTATTCTACAAAGTGATTTCGACGCTTACAAATTTGAGGAAAACATGGAAGTGTGGACATTTCTATCATCGTCTCAAAATGGTGACTTCATCATTTGTAGATGATTTTAGAAACGTCCATACTTCCAGTATATTCTAGAATTGAAAATTCTGAAAAGACTCCAATCAGAAGAAATCCGATGGTCAACCCTCATCTGTACCTCCTGGCTACATACACTATGCAAAGAGGATAATACGTCTGTAATGGTAAATGGATTCTCGCATGGCTCCCATCGTCTCAAAATGATGACATGATCATTTCTAGATGATTTTAGAAACGTCCATATTTCCAGTATATTCTAGAATTGGATATTCTTCCAAGATTATAACTAGAAGAGTTAAATGGTCAACCCTTATCTGTACCCCCTGGCTACAAATACCATGCAAAGAAGATAATACGTCTGTAACGGCAAATGAATTCTCGCATGGCGCCCATCGACATGAATAATCACCTGGAAGTGTGGACATTTCTAACATCGTCTCAAAATGGTGACTTGATCATTTCTAGATGATTTTAGAAACGTCCATACTTCCAGTATATCAAAAAATTAACAGTTCTCAGAAGATTCTAACTACAAGAATGAAATGATCAACCCTCATCTGTAACCCCTGGCTACAAATACCATGCAAAGAAGATAATACGTCTGTAACGGCAAATGAATTCTCGCATGGCGCCCATCGACATGAATAATCACCTGGAAGTGTGGACATTTCTAACATCGTCTCAAAATGGTGACTTGATCATTTCTAGATGATTTTAGAAACGTCCATACTTCCAGTATATCAAAAAATTAACAGTTCTCAGAAGATTCTAACTACAAGAATGAAATGATCAACCCTCATCTGTAACCCCTGGCTACAAATACCATGCAAAGAAGATAATACGTCTGTAACGGCAAATGAATTCTCGCATGGCGCCCATCGACATGAATAATCACCTGGAAGTGTGGACATTTCTAACATCGTCTCAAAATGGTGACTTGATCATTTCTAGATGATTTTAGAAACGTCCATACTTCCAGTATATCAAAAAATTAACAGTTCTCAGAAGATTCTAACTACAAGAATGAAATGATCAACCCTCATCTGTAACCCCTGGCTACAATTTACATGCAAAGATATTAGTACGTCTGTCTGTAAACGGCATATGGATTCTCGCCTGGCTCCCATCGACATGAATAAATCACCTGGAAGTGTGGACATTTCTAACATCGTCTCAAAATGGTGATTTGATCATTTCTAGATGATTTTAGAAACGTCCATACTTCCAGTTTATTCTATAATTAAAAGTTTTTACAAGATTCTAACTAGAGGAAATCAAATGGTCAACCGTCATCTGTACCCCCATACTTCTATAGCCGGGGAGCTATAGAAGTCATACCAAGAGAACAGTCCGTCTGTAAATGGCAAATGGAAACTTGCATGGCTTCTGTCGACATGAATTACCACCTGGAAGTGTGGACATTTCTAACATCGTCTGAAAATGATCGCTCAAACATTTGAAGATGATCTTAGAAATATCCACACTCCCGAAGATAATTCAAGTGACAGACGTTTGGTTCACAAAACCAACACGCAGACAGTCTGCAGAGCCGCCTCTATACCCAGTCAGATGACGACGTTTGGTTTTCGCAGCATTCCAGAGCATCCAGAACCACTGGTAGCAGGTACAGTGAAGCTGTTGTTGACAACAAACGGCCTGTACAACGACGTATCTGACGTACTTCAGTGGTAACTCATGCGCGTACCAAACCGAATATAATTACGTAAACTCTGCACATATGCATTTGAACCGAAGTTTGTTCTTTGCATCCGACCAAAACCTTCACAGCTTTTGCTTCGTCGAGTCAGACTTGTACCTACTGAGTCTTCTGAGAACTGGAGATTGGATCGTGTCTTCTCCGGAAGAAATCTTCAGCCTTGGCTCCGTACACATGTTCCTCAAGTTCTGGTACGCGTGATTTTGTTGAGTTGAATTCTTTCCATGCTGTTTCCAATCTATGCATCTTCTAAGTGATTCTAGTTCTGTAACAGATCCTTAAAACCAAACCTCAAAGTACAAAACATGTCTGTTCTTAAGAGTCGAACTCTTCCAAGGAAGCAAAATCCAAGATTGAAGAAGGGGTTCATTGAACAGCTTGGTGCATTTTCTTACACAGACCTCTTATGCGGTGGTCTTCGAAACCTCTTCCGAACTATCTGGTAAGATCAAATCTACAGCAGAGATCATTCAGGACATGTCAACGATTACTTACTTAGATAGGGAGTCTGAGTGGGTGGCCGTGAAGCAATCCTTGCTCTGAGAGTCACTGTCGAGTGCTTCGTTCTGCAACTTCGTTCATCGATCGCCGCTGCTCTGCATTCAAGAGTCAAGAGTTGAACACATGCACGCGCAGTGATGTCGATGCATCATCAATGCTACACCCTTCGTATAGCCAGCTCGCAAACGTACGATGGCATATGAATCTCACAGGTCTAGATCTTAGACCCAGTCAATCATTCATACTGATACAAAGCGACTTGGGAAAGTCCAGTATGTATTTCACAGTTATATACTGACGAGCGTCGACAAGCCCAGTGTCCAGTTTACAGCCTGATACTGATCACGAATAAACAGCTGTGGGTACAACAAAAAGCACGTACATTGTACAGCGGTAGGTGAGTAGATATCGTAAGGATTGCAACCACGCACCTACCCGTGATGAAGTGAGGTGACATGCAGGGCGAGAATTTTAAGGTTGTGAGGTGCCTATAATACATGGACACAGAACTTACGCAATGTGCGCTTTGCTGGATCTCAGCTTAGAGAAAAGATTGATACGTAGATAATTTTTTCGTGCAAGGTCGTCGTCGAGGCTCCTGAAGACGGTGTCCTTGACTCCCGTTGTTCCACACTCACGTTCATTACGCACCTCATTGCTAAAGATCTAGATCGGCACAACATGCAGTTAATGTGCACAGTTCTCGCCATGTTTTTTGTGCAAGTATCTTCGTTCCTGCTCTTAGCCCGATATACAAGGAGGGCATGCATATGCAGGACTAGATGTATGCAGTACCTTTCGGTTAGATTTTCAATTCACACATATTAAAGGCAAGACCTCCTGATCGGAAATAATGAAGAATCGTTCTCAAGTTCCCGAAGGACTTTAAGTCGGTCAATAATCACCCATGGTTTAAACGACGTGTGTACTAAATTGTGAGTCTTCACGTCAGCTCTTATGTGGATGAAGAAGTGATTAAGGCTTGAGTAACGGACATTATAATGCAAATATAGTTACCACTTTCAAATTCTTTATCGTCAAGAATAATATGAGTCTCGCACTCTTTCACTGACAGACAAAAGATGATCTCTGCTCCCGGGATTGCATGGCCATGTGAAGCTTACATTCAAATCTCCACTTGGTATTTTCACCTGAATGTATTTCTTTGATCAATCAGATATTTGACTTGGAGTTTCTGGTTATCTAGTTCTTAGATTGCTAGTCTCATGAACATGGTTTATTACTTTTTTTCTCTAATATTTCGTGCGTTTCTTAGGTATAGTCCACAGCCACAGATGCTGATGATGAAGACCATGTGAGTCATTCACAAAAAGCCCAGGGAATCAATCAACATTTGAGATTATAGCATGACTAAGAACTCGGTAGTGTATCACCGGAGGACATTCGCTGACAGTGTAGACCTTTTTTGAGTGGCTCCAGGGTTAGGGGAATATGGTAAAGATAAAGAGACGGCACTGAAATTGCTGAAGAATCTAAGACACGATTCCTTCGGTTATATTCGAGGGTCATTCCTACTCCTCGAACTATTGAGTTGATTCTTGACAATAAACTCGCTGGTACTGGGAGAAACTGTACCTCCATCCGGAATCCACTGCAATGATTCCTCTCGTCCCTGAGCTTCTCAACCGACCGCATGATCCGACTAGACTCGGCTAATCACGCAAGGGCACTCCAAGTTAGACGACTGGTGAGTATACATTGTTAACGATGTTGTGCAGAGAAGAACGTGACGGCTACGTGCAACGTGCAGTTCCAAGTATTCCTCGACCTCAATCTACGTAATTTATTCCAATTCTAACAAGACATTTGCGTTTAAATTCCACATGTTAAGTAATCGAATAATTTGAGTAACAAATCAAATATTGAGAGAATTTATCTTCTCCAAAGCAATGTTTGAAATGTCGTATCAGGAATGAATGAACGAGGTCTTCCTCACCACGTTATAACTTGGTTTGTCTTGAAATACGTACAGTCCTCAATCCACTTCTATAGCTGGAACTTGCACATTTGGTTCGTGCTTAGAGAAAAGGGAAGTTTTCTTTTCCGAAATTTAGAGTAACCAAATTTTGAGCAGGGGTTTTATCATAACTTGCATAGCGCAAAAGCCCATTCCCTTCTCAGTGGTCATTCTAATCAATTGGCTGGACCTCAAGGTAAACAGCTTTCACATTGGCGGTTACAAGTAGCTTTAAAAATACCAGGCGCACTAAAGCATAATTCTGAGTGTCTGCTAAAATTCCACACCCAAACTTCCAGTCGTCTGCTCCTTTCTATTGTTCACTTTTTATAATGCAACTCATATATATTCGAACACCTTGGGAGAGTAGAAAGCTACTCTTCTGAGCTGAAACGCTACATTTACCTGTTCTCTCCGGTACGTATCATCCGCACGTTTAGTGACGTAGCTAAGGAGAGTGAAGGGCACCTGGGAGCACGGACAGCAGACGAGGAGGCGACAAGCTTGGTGAAGGCAGGGCTGGCATTACGGACGCATATGAATCTTCGAATGCATCACGGCTGACTTTCGTGCGTGAGTATTCCTAGAGATTTCAAGCCCCCGTATCCAGGTTCCTCACGGCGAACATATTATTAACGTGCAGAAATAGTAAGCAATGATGGGTAGCAACAGCAATTTGTTTTGGTTCGTTGAATATGAACTTCATGCTACTCTATTAAATTAATGATACTATTTCCAGCAATGTTTGTTCTGGTGATTTCCACCCGCTTGCACGCACTAGATGACAACACACATAATGTCCAGGTTTCCATATCGTCACTTAACCTGTAGAGATTGAGTACGGCGGATGTGACACTAGAACTGCAGTGTATGGAAACACAATTCTTCGTTTCACTCTCTTGCACTGGAATGGGATCTCTTTTGCCCTCCGTGAAGTGGCAGAACCATATTTGATCGATATTATGATCAAACAAGGGCCTTGCTATATTCGCCCTCATGTTCTAGTTCCTACTGTAGTAATACAGTCTGACCGAGTATCAGGCTCCAGATTCAGCTTATGACATCAAATCACGAATGCATGTTCGTAAGGCAACTGAACGGATCGTCTTCGTCTGCCCTTTTCGTGTTCGAGGTAGATTCCACAAGAGCAAGGGAAATGGCTTATTTCCTGCTAACCAGAAGTACCTTGCCGAGAAAAAGATGCAAAAGTAAGAAAGGCACGCTCACTCCAGATTCTTAGCTTGCGTGGCTCGAGTGAGAATGCACCAAGTTTGTATGTAAAGATGGATGTTAAAACCAGTGGCGATTATGAGTATTGTGATTGTTGAAGCTTTGCAGATTTCGTGCACCTTGTATAATTTGTAAGAAGCCAATGGCAGAGTTGCCAACTTGTACACAGGTAGGGATTGTTAAACCCTATAGCTAGGAGTTCGATCATGTTTGAAAGACAGTTGGTCTCATTGTCGGGCTGATTGCCACTCATACTTCCAGCTGTGTCTCACCTTGTGTACAGAAGTTGCAGTGATGCACTTGACATCTGCATTTTGCAAAATCAGCTCCTGCGAGATAAACATCTGGTGCACGCTCTCGTGCTTTCGCGTGTGTATGTTTTGAGTGCAGACATTTTGATGAGGTGTTTGTGGATCGAGGAAGACTGTCAAGGTTAACTCTAGCTGTACTTTTTGATCCAGAGAGAAAGAAAAGCACGTGATTAATCATCTACTACAAGAAGAGAATGCAATGTGTCAAGTTAAAACTCCGTGTTTCAAAAATAAAACTTTAGGTCAAGATAACCCAGATAGAGTAACTCCCATTCTTCGATTGACTTTTTATCAAGCAGCTATTCATATGATAATAAAGATATATCATGGACATTTTTTTCAACTGTAAACCATTCTCTGGGTGGAAAGATACCAGGTGATAGATTTAAGACATTGCTTAATTCACTAAAGAGCTTAACTATTCAAAGTGGCTGCTACATGGGATATGCTTAATACAATCTGATTCTCTATATTCATAAGGATTTAAATATATTTAAATTTGCTAAATCTATGTGAAATCAACATCGAATGTCTTTGATACAATGCTTTTTATATTGATAATAATCGATTTCAATGTATTATAGAGAGGTTATCCCTCACCCTAGGGTAATGTGCACTACTTCTTCACTTTCTCTATGCACGCGAGCTCTGTGACTATATCACATATCTCTATGTTCAGAAGGGTGAGTGATAATTATCCCAAATTGAGTGATAACTAGCCCCTCCCATATTTTATTGCAAAAAATATGAATTCTACATACCGAGTGATCTTCCTCTTGCATCTTATAACATGATTTAGAATGTTAAGTTGTACATTTTATGGTAACATTCAATCTGAATTAGCCTATAGTGGTAGCTTTCAACACTCAAATGTTACTATCAAAAAACTATCAAGGTCATATGCTACATTTGAGAAAATTTGTATTCTCCATTTAAGGGTTTTTTTTTTTCATGGATGATGTTAATACATATATATTATATTGTTGATGTTTGTTTACATATTCACTAAATGTTGTGCAATAATTTTTACAATTTGCACTTATTGATGCATCTTTTTCCATTTGATGAGGTGGAAAGTGTAAATCAAGATCTACATTCACATTGACAAACATTTGCAAAAAGTTTACAAAGTAATAAAGTGATCTTACTTTAAACACCAAGGCTTTATTAAAATCCATAAACTACTTATCTAGTGTAACTGTAGAGATATAGTCAAATACTTGATTTTTTTAAAAATAGAGACGAAAGATTGAAATACTGATAAATATTATCATAACTTTTTTATAAAAAATACATCAATATCAAAATAATATATTTTTGTTTGAAAACTTAAGCTAAGATTTTAGGAACACACCATTTTTTATTATCATTTGAAATACTATATTTGAACAAGAGTGTGCACTATATGTCTTGATACTCTTGTTTATTATAATCTAAAGACTATATATATGATTAATCTATATTTTTGAATAGATATAATAACAGATATAAAAATGTTTCTTACTTTAAAATTATTAAACGAGTTATGAATTTTAAAAAGTCGATTCAAAAATGAAAAAAAATAATGATTCATAATATTTGGGAATTCAAGATAATATGAAAGGTTTAAATTTTTTCAAATAGAATTAAAAAAAAACACTATGAGTTTTCATGATTTTAAAGTGATTAAAAATTATTCTTGATTTGAAGATAAATTACCTTCATTATTGATGTTTAGAGAATGGAATTAGAAGTTTATTGATATCAAATTCTTTAGTTAGTTATTGAATAACAACAAACCTTTCATAGAAATAGTGTCATTTAGATTTATATGTTCTCTAAATAGCAGTTGGCCTAAGGTTTCACTTCTGAGAGTTTTAGCGTCAACGACGGCTTGAAGAACTCTTAACAAAAAACAAGGAATCATTCAAGAAACACGAGACACAATCATATAACGTGGTTCACCCTCATGGGCTACGTCCACACCTGAAGTGCACGAGAAGCTTTACTTAAACTGAATACACAATACTCCTTCAAAGAAGCCTTGGCCTTGGGGGTATATTTATACCCAAAGCGAGCGACACACCTAGCTATAAATAGCTATAACCTGCGGTTACTCCTTAACCGGAGTTAACCTCAACAAGAACGTCAGTTTCTCGAGTCGAGTTTGTTAGCGTTGGGAGATGTGCGTCTGTCCGTTGATAACGTTAAAACTCAGAACCGTCACACCGACACCAGAGTCACACCAACACGAGTTACACGAGAGTATAACGTGGTTCACCCTCAAAGGTTACGTCCACGGGGAGAAGAGCACTAGAGAGTTTACTGCTTGAATGCTTGAAGTGATTCTCTTCCTATCACCCTCAGGGTATATATACCCAAGGTAGTCAACCACCTAAGCTATAAATAGCTACATATGCGGTTAACCAAGGTTAACTAACCTCAGTTAACTCCTTAACCAGAGTTAATATCAACAATCTCCCCTTAACTCGCGTTAAGGAATCTCAGTAACCTCTCTAACCTATATTATTACT